CAGACTTGAGGCAAAGGATAAGAAGACCTCCGCCGAGTTTGAGTTGGTCAATGGCTTGTTGTTCCCAGAGAAGGCAGGGAATACACGCTTATGTGTTCCAAATAGCGAGTCTTTGCGTAGTTTGTTTTTAGGCGAGTGTCATGATGCCACCGACCATTTTGGGTATAAGAAGACCGCAGCCAACTTGCTGCAGCGGTTCTGGTGGCCCACGATGATGCGAGATGCACAGCTGTACGTGGAGACTTGTCAAGTTTGTCAACGGGACAAGCCATGTCCTCAGGCTCCTCTTGGGCTTCTGAAGCCCCTTCCGATTCCGGAACGGCCTGGTGAGAGTCTGTCCATGGATTTCATGGATACTCTGATCACCAGCAAGAGTGGAATGCGTCACATTTTCGTCATCGTGGATAGATTTAGTAAGTATGCTAGGTTAGTAGCCATGCCAGAAACAGCAAAGACGGAGTACGTGATTAAAATGTTTAAGGAGAACTGGGTCAGGGACTTTGGTCTACCAAAGTCCATTGTTAGTGACAGAGATGTCAGGTTTACCAGCGAGTTGTGGAAGGCCGCTGCTGCAGAGCAGGGCACTCAGTTGCAAATGACTTCTGGGACCCAGAGGCCAACGGCCAGGCTGAGCAACTGAACCGCGCTGTGCAACACCTGTTGAGGCATTACATCAAGCCCAACCAGGTGGACTCGGATGAGAAGCTTGCTCTCATCGCCAGTCTGTATAACAATGCGGTACACAGCGCCACTGGGGTGAGCCCGAACAGTCTGCTACTGACTTTCAAGCCTAGACTACCATTGGATTTCCTTCTTCCAGAGAATCAGTCAACTGCTGCAGCCGATACATTAGAGTTTGCTTACCGCTATGAACAGAAGATGCAGCAGGCGGTAGAACAGATGCAGAAGGCACAGGCGGCGATGATAGAGTCCGAAAACAGACACCGCCGGCCTTCTACATTTCAGGTTGGGGATAGAGTCTGGGTTAAGTCTTCAGAACTGGGACAGGAGTACGGGATATCCCGCAAACTCATGCCTCAGTACGTTGGACCTTGGGAAGTCTTGGACATCGTCGGGACAGATCCGGATGGTCCATCATATGTTATCCGGATTCCTGGTCATCTCTGTACTTACCCTGTCTTTCACGCCTCCAAGCTGGCACCTTTCAAAGAGACTGACCAATTTCGATCTCGTCGCTCAATGCTGCCCCCAACCATGGACGAAGAAGTGGACATCGATGATATTGTGGATCACAGAGAGCTGCCGGTATCAAGACCAGCAGGCAGGGGACGTCCTCCAAAACCGAAGCTGGAGTACCGCGTTCGGTTCCGACATCACACTGATCCAAAGGAGGACCGCTGGTTCACCAGGGAAGAGCTCATGCAGACCGCTCCTCAGGTTGTAACTCAATATGAGAGATCTCTGCAGAAAGGAAAGCGCCCTATGATCGACGATTGAGCTTCTCAGAGGACTGTTGAAGCAAAGGAGGAGGGAATGCGAGGCCACTGCCTCTAAGAGGCCCATAAGGCCCCTATTTTTGCAGCCCGTCGGCCGCCCTAAGTGAAGGCAGGCTCGACGAGGCCCTCAGGGCCCTTTTCTGGCCACTACGCAACTCAGGGAAATTCAGGCAGCGCCAGTTGGTTGAATGAATCCAGGCCCTGGGTCGCCTGTGTGAATGTACGTGAAGCAGGCCCTGGGCTGGATACGGGAACCGGGCCAAACACAGGCCGAAAGCAGTTGGGCACATGCAGGCCCAAGGCCTGCTTTCCTCGTGACTGGGCCTCAGGCTACCGGGGCCTACTGGAAGCTTCCTGGACTGGACGCAGGTAGGCCACTTCGATATAGGGAAGGGCCTGCCTCCTCATTCGGCATTCGGGTGCTGGCTGCATGCTGCGC